AGAATAGAATAGAATAGAATAGAATAGAATATAGCATAATAGAATATAGCATAATAGAATGTAGAATAGAATGCAGAATAGAATAGAGCAGAGTAGAATAGAATAGAACAGAATAGAATAGAGCATAATAGAATAGAATAGAATGCAGAATAGAATAAAATAGAATAGAATAGAATAGAATAGAATGTAGAATAGAATGCAGAATAGAATAGAGCAGAGTAGAATAGAATAGAGCAGAATAGAATAGAGCAGAATAGAATAGAATGTAGAATAGAATGCAGAATAGAATAGAGCAGAACAGAATAGAGCAGAATAGAATGCAGAATAAAGCAGAATAGAATGTAGAATAGAATGCAGAATAGAATAGAGTAGAATAGTATAGAGCAGAACAGAATAGAATAGAGCAGAATAGAATAGAGCAGAATAGAATAGAGCAGAATAGAGTGTAGAATAGAATGCAGAATAGAATAGAGCAGAATAAAATAGAATAGAGCAGAATAGAATGCAGAATAGAATAGAGCAGAATAGAGTGCAGAATAGAATGCAGAATAGAATAGAGTAGAATAGAATAGAATAGAGCAGAATAGAATATAGAATATAATGCAGAATAGAATAGAGCAGAATAAAATGCGGAACAGAACAGAATGCCGAACTGCTGGCAGTCAGCAGTCAGCAGAATTAGCCTGCTATACTGCATTCTAACTACTGCGCCACCACAGCTCTTTGAAGCCACAAAGCAGTGGCGATTTCTCTCTTTATTTGCAAAAGTGGTTCTGTGTGTGACAAAATGCCAACTCTGTCACGCTGCTTCTTCAAAAAGAATCCAATGCTGATCCCGAAACATTTCGGTCCCGTTTCCCATTTTAGGGAGTTCCAGCTGTCCTGTAAGGCTGTCGGAGTCCACCCTCCCCTCGTGCTTTCCCACTCCTTCGTCCAGTTTCCGGCCACGGCTCTGGATGACGTCTCGGCCGCCACCCTCTTCATCATCAACCCTCACGAGAGAATCAGCCACTTCACTCACACCATGCCCCGAATCGGCGAGGGGGAAATCGCTCCGGTTGGACCCACTTCCTTCCAGTTCCTCGTGCCCGAAGATTCTCCCATCATCATCATTCCCTGCGTGGGGACTGTCCTGCCTGGGAAGGTAAACTCTGAACGTGTTTAAATAAGATAATTACTAACCCACCTACCCCCGCCTCCCAACCAGTTTTGTGAACTTTTTGCTCGGGGTTTTAATTCCCGGCGATGGATCCGCCGTTGGAAAATTCAGTGCAGTGTCTGAAGGGACTAAAAATGAGCAGATAATGATTAACAGAATTGGAAGGGATCTTGTAGGTCATCTGGTCCAACCCAAGCAAGAGACTCTATGAGATCAGATCTGACGGCAATGAGATCTTGCCGAAATGGTGTTCCTAATAAATGACTGGTTTTCTTTTGAAACTTGGCTCGAGGCTCATGAATTAATTAGGCCATCTTTCGGAAACCTGACACTCTTCTTAAACGCTTCCAGTGATGAAGCTCCCACAATTTCCGAAATCAACTTCTGTTCCATGGGTTTGATAGTTTTCACTGCCATGAAATTTCTCCTTATTTCCAGGTTGAAATCTCTCCTTGGAAGGTTCCCATCCATTGTTCCTTGTCTGGCCTTGGGTGGTTTGGAAAGTAGCTTGACCCCCCTCCTCTCTGGGGCAGCCCCTCAAATATTGGAGAAATATTTCTTCCCTCTTCATTTGGGCTTTTACAAACCTTGTTGGAAGCTAAGAGAAGAGTTATAAGATTAAATAGGAAATAATTGCATAAATAATTAAATAAACAATTACAGCTACCTCCACCATCCAATCCCACATATGTGGTGGAGGCTAAAACATATGAAGAACGGTTGCAGAAATTGGGTATGTCTAGTTTGATGAAAAGAAGGACGAGAGGAGACAAGATAGCAGTCTTCCAATATCTCAGGGGCTGCCTCAAAGAAGAGGGGGTCAAGCTATTCTCCAAGGCACCTGAGGGCAGGACAAGAAGCAATGGGTGGAAACTAATCAAGGAGGGGAGCAATCTAGAACTAAGGAGGAATTTCCTGACAGTGAGAAAAATGAATCAGTGGAACAACCTGCCTCCAGAAGTTGTGAATGCTCCAACACTGGAGGTTTTTAAGAGGAGACTGAACAACCATGTGTTTGATATATGATATGTGGCTTCCTGCTTTAGCATGGGGTTGGACTAGAAGACCTCCAAGGTCCCTTCCAACTCTGTTATTCTGTTATTTTGAGGTTCAGTTGCAGTTTTGTGGCTTCAGCCATTTCATTTCCTCTGCCTGGTTTATTTGGTTTTACGTCCTTGGTCATTTCTGCTTCTAGTAAGGGTTTTTCTCCCCCCTCATTTCTTCCTCTTCTGTTGGCTTCTGTTGTCCAGAAATGCCTCCTTGACGTCTCCTTCCACCCAACGCTGCCGGATCAGCTGATCAGGCAAGAGGCAGTCAACATAACGTGTCAGAATGCAGAAATAAAAGCTCAGATGGAAAAAAGAGCCCGAGAATTGGAAATGCAGGTAAACAGAAGAGTGACGCAGGCTACTTCCTGTCAGTTCTTTCTGACCAAGGGAGCGTATGGCAGGGTCACAACTTGGAAAAGCTGGTGGCAAAGGGGCAAACATACACACACATACACACACACAGTGACAGATCTATCTGGGTGTTGGGAGGGGGGTATCAGATGAGCTGGACTTGAAGAAGGGGAGGTTGTGCAGAGATTAGAGACCAGCAATTCGTCATAACGGTGTAATACTTCATTTAACACCCAGTAAAAGTAATAAAGTCCAGTGGCATAATTAAGAGAGTCGCAGAATGGCCATAAGGTAAGGGGAGGGGAGGGAAAGGAAAGGAAAGAAGGAAAAGAAAGGAGAAAGGAGGGAAGAGAAGGAAGGACAGGGAAAGGAAAAGAAAGGAAAGGAAAAAAAGGAAAAGAAAGGAAAGGAGAAAAGGATAGGAGAAAGAAGGGAAGAGAAGGAAGGGAAGGCGGAAAGGAACAGAAAAAAGGAAAGGAAAGGAGGAAAAAGGAAAAGAAGGAAGGAAAGGGGAAAAGGAAAGGGGAAAAAGAGGAAAGGAGGAAAGGAAAAGGAGGAAGAAGGGAAGAGAAGGAAGGAAAGAAAAAAGAAAGGGAAGGGAAAGGAAAGGAAAAAAAGGAAAAGAAAGGAGGGAAGAGAAGGAAGGAAAAGAAAAGGAAAAAGGAAAGGGGAAAGAAGGGAAGAGAAGGAAGGGAAGGCGGAAAGGAACAGAAAAAAGGAAAGGAAAGGAG